GGTGTTAGTGTGAAAGAGAACTAACTAAAACAATTTAATATCCATCTAAATTGATATATCTTCCTTGGGTACATATGGTTTGTAGGATAGGAATGGATAGTCTTGTTGACTTTTGCGGGAATTAGTTTCAGCTCAGATCGTGTTTGTGATCCTTTTCACCTCCAGAACAATGGACTTCAACCGTCGTCTTCTGGTGAGATCGACCTGCACACCTCTTCATCAGACACACTTTCGTACCAAATGATATCTCGACAATCATAAGAATTTCAAACGGAGTTTTGGCTGAATATTATCTCAAATAAATCTTTATACTATTCACTTGATGATCATCCACCCACTACTCAGGACTGTCTTTACCACGACTCCTAATTCAACTTCGGTTTTAGATGATACCAATTCGCGAATTAGGGTCAAAAAACGTCTACTTCACAAATGAAAAGTTGACTTATACTGACTCTTTGCTTCTGACCCACTAAACCCTCCCTTTCCTGCAGTCCATCTCGAGATGCTTTTCTCTCGTGGTGGTATCAACTTGCGCTGTCTGTCCCCCAGCTTGGAGGTCAAGCCGCCCTGGGATACCGGCCAACTTGTGTGCGCAACAGCCTCAGGAGACCACTGCTGCCTGCATCATCATCACCACCAACTGCTGCACCCACAAGCCACTCGTCCATGTCAGAAACTATCATCTCTGTCAGCCCATGAAGTGGTGGCATGTCCGTGTCGAGACGGTGACGATGCTGTCACGGCCCTCCTTGTACCCAGTCATACAACCTGGCCCCATGACCTGGTTACGTGGAATAGGGAAGAGAAGGCACTGATTCATCGCCGACTCTGTCGGGGTAAGTGTTTGTTTTTTTTATCCCCATCTATTTCGTTTTAGATGATAATGGGACTAGTAGTTGCATTTTCCCACAATTTGGGACTCGAACCATGGGCAATGCAGCGTATAATCTTGATACATTAGCCACAAAGCCAGACTGCCACGAGTATTCTTAGGTTGCAGGGCAGAAGTACATTTTACGAAATCCCAGACATTTTCTCATATCACATTCTGGGATGAGATTGTCGATGAAGCAAAGTTGTATTTATTATAGCAATCGACCACACTACTTATATTTCGTTTATAAGTAGGCTTTCGAGACTACCAGTAGATCATTTATTCATGAAGTGTATTCACCCTATTTCGGTTAAGAAGATAAGAGTGAAATATGATGAATACACTTCATATATAAATGATCTAATGGTAGTCTTGAAAACCTACTTATAAACGAAGGCGAAGTAGTGATGTGATTTGGAAAAAGGCCTGGCAAGGCTATGTGATATTCAATGGAAACGTAAAGTATACTCATCAGATTGGGGAAAAATGCAACTACTAGCATCACATAAAACCAAGTTACAATTACCGACTGTGAATAAGAGTTCCAGTCATCCTCGGTTGCATAAGGTGATGAAGTACAGATAGTTGAATTTTCCCAAAACACAGTTAGAATATTTTTCGTATAAAAGCAGAGTTTAGATACTACCAGTAAATCAGTAATATGAGATGTATTCACCCTATTTCGTTGAAGGCGATGAAGGCCAGGCCTTTTCCCATATCACATTCTTTGATGGGATTTTCGATGAAGCAAACGCATTTTTGCTATATCAATCGACTACATTACTTATTTTTCGTATATAACTCTCGCATAACTGATTTACTGGTAGTCACGAGACTATACTTATATACGAAAAATAAGTAATCTAGTCTATTGTTATAGCAAAAATACGTTTGCTTCATCGGCAATCCCATCAAAGAATGTGATACTGGAAAAAGCCTGGCTTTCATCACCTTAAACGAAATAGAGTGAATACATCTCATATAGTATGAATATGCCTCACGTATCCATAGAACTTCTAGTCCTACTTCCTAAAATGTATTTGCAGCCCGGCTAGTCTGTATAGCTGTTTCGAGCTCACCTTCACTCCTACTTCTCGTTGCAACTCCGACCCTGTTTGTGGTGGTGGAGAGTGTCATGTAGACAGGTCGACACCACGCCACACTGTCACGAGTGCCTCTGGGTCAGAGGACAGTCTTGAGTTTCAAGGATTGTCAATAAGTCAAACATGTATTTATCTATTATACTCGAATGCACTACTTACATTCAGAGAAAGTCGACTTTCGTAACGGAAAGTAACGACTTTATGGGGAAAATTCAATTGCGCCCATGTTAGATGTAAGTGTTTGAAGACTGTCGGTAAATCTTGGATGAGAACTTGTCAGCCCAAGTGACTTGGTGTGATTTAATAACAGTTAGTTGAATGGGATGTATAAATCTTACGATGTCATTACAGTTGCGTGGGCTTTTCCTCCATACATGTTTTCCAATCCAGGTCGGACTGCATTTTCGATCTGCCTGAGTCGCAACAATACCCTCAAGAGGACGCAAAACGGAGTAGCATTGACACGTTAACACTCCAATACATATTCGCCCTCAATGGAGGCTGGGCCTCTTCCGATTCACACTTATGCTCGTATTCGCTATTTCATCCCCTCCTTCTCTCTCACATGAAGACAAAAAGCTCATTAACATAACTAGATGTGTATCCGATCTTGCGCAATCGGAGTGATTATATATATACATATTTATACACACATAAAAAAATATTCCGTATCCTCCTCTCTATATCTATATATTTCTGTTTTACTTTTGACTATATATAATATATATATATATACATATTTATACACACATAAAAATTTATTCCGTTTCCTCCTCTCTATATCTATATATTTCTGTTTTACTTTTGACTATAAATAATATATATATATATATACATATTTATACACACATAAAAAATTATTCCGTTTCCTCCTCTCTATATCTATATATTTTTGTTTTACTTTTGACTATAAATAATATATATATA